CTTACAGACAGTTTTCACTGTGAGGACGATCGGTGATGTACATCAGTTGGTCGATGTATGCTACGTGTAGAGATCAAAATAGTCGATGATGGAGGTCGAGTTGTACTGATTCAGTATGCTGGCGAAATATATACTCGAAATCGTTTTTGTGATGTGTGGCTATTACGGAGATCATGAGAAAACAGCCGAAAGAATCACTGATAATGGTTGGCTGCGAACAGGTGATATGGGAACAATAGATGCAGACGGATATTTATATTTTACTGGACGAAAAGAAGAGATTATCATTTGAGCTAGTACTAATATTTGGCCAAGTGAGATCAAACAAACTATTCAAGAACATAAAGGCATTGCCGAAGTGCATGCCTTTTCCATCCCTGATCCTACCGAAGATGAGATCGTATGTGCATTTGTAAAACTCAAACCCGGCATACAATTTGAAGTCGATGAGCTCAAAACTTTTCTCGGCAGCAAATTGACTGCATACAAAGTCCCCACACACATACATTTTGTTGACGAGTTCAGTCGAACTTCGATTGGCAAAGTATCAAAATCGAAGCTCACTCAAGAAATGATCAAGATATTGCACCAATAGTTAGATGTGTAATTTTCAATAGTGCATATGAAAGTTTTCTATCATTCATACATGAGAATAAAAATTTTACTGGGTGTGGTGCGGGTGGGAGTTTAGATGTTGGTAAAAAGGAAAGAAAAGAAACGTCCACACGCACACTCCATCCATTTCATTCTTTTTTTCTGAAATCTCGGTTCATCATCGGTGCCTGAGTTTCTCTGAGATTCACCTTTCAGAATCAATCTTTATCTATTAGGAACACAGCTAATGACAACACGACTGTCTTGACTATGAATGCGTTCCAACGCGTTTCTTCTTTTCTCAAAAATGTTTACTTGGTCGTAGTCTTTTTTTATTATTTTTCATGAGAATTTTTGTTATGACATGTGCATCGAGCTGATAAAAATACGATAACGGTGTATCAACAGAGAGAAGAATACTTCAACTCACCTTTCGCTGTAAGGATATAGTATAGAGGCGAGGTGGTGTTCGAAAAAAAACGAAAAGCGTGTTTGGACTACCCAAATTACTCTAAAATATTCATATAAGAGTTCTAAACGAACCGTTTAAGCTCCGCTCGAGCCACCAAAAAACAGTTAAAGAAAGCTATACTTACGTTTTTTAACGATTTATTTCACTTTTTTTAGCTACTACTCAACTAATGACCTGTTTGGAAGAAATGACAGCCTTTTTAAGGGTGTGCGCGTGCATGTAAGTTTGATTGCGTGGGTATGTATGTGTCTCTTTTTTCTTTTGCGCACCCTTAGGACAGTCTTCACAGCCGCCCTCTCGATCCTTGATCACTAGTAAAAGGAGCTGAGCTTAGACTTAGATTCCATGATGAGGCACAAAATTTATTCCAAGATACTTAAAAGAATTGGATTTGTGTTGCAATTCAGATTCGAAGATATATCTGAAGCATGCAGATCAGAGTTCGACATCAACAATAGAAGCAAATGTATCTTAATCATGAAGCGATATTCATCGAAGCATTTAATAAAACACTGAATTCAGACAGAAGAAAAGGATGGATCACAGATGGTTACCCAGGAAGGGAATCTTAGGTGTTGGGTTGATAGGCTTAGAACTAGGGCACCGAACCCATGCATGATGGGCGTAAATTTAACAACGATGACCATGTTGACAACGAATGGATCGTTCGTGTCTTCTGGATGGACTCTTGGCATTCATATTTCTGCTCATACAACTCATAACCTTATTGCGAGTAGTGCTATCTCTAGAAGTTCAAAGTTTTCCAGTATTTTATTCATCTTATCATTATCGTTCATGACAAAGATAAAAACCTAATCAATCAATACCTTTCTTGATGAACTGATAAAAAAGCATTTTAATTAATAATGCGTAAGTGTGCTTAGAGAATAATGGGGGAGGGGAGGTATTTACATGAATCTCTTAATTATTAGTGTTAGTAAGTAGCACTTGACAAATAATGATATTGTTATCATTTCTTTGACTGCAGCAATGGCAAATCTTATGACAACATCACCTGTTTCGTTTAAGTTTTGTGAAGGAAATTTTTCTTAAAACAAACACTATCAAGAAATTTAATAATGGTCATTAACTTTGTAGATCTACGTTTTCTGTAGAGTTGTTTGAAGACAGGGTTTTTCACTTAGAATGATATAGCTTAATATAGTTACAGTTTTGAAAAAAACTCAGACAAAAATGTTAGCCCTCATCTAATCGAGGATTCTTCTTTGTCTCTATACTAGGATTTCTGTAAAGAATAATGATCTCTATTCTGTTTTATTCAAATATGAGAGAGGTTCAAAATTTTTTTATATTTTCACATTGATCATTGAGAATGTTGTCATAGTTTGTTTTTTAAAACTGAGTTATCATAGAGCAAAAGAAAAGAAAAAATAAATCAATCAATAATATCTTACTCTATGTGCACATATCCGTTAACAATATTTTCTTTTTGTTCTGTACTATTTTTTTATGTGATTCATTCTTTTTATCAATATGATGATAAATACTTCCACTAAAGGGTAAACAGGAATAGTTTCATGGCAATTAAAAATGAAAAATGACTTCTCCCCTTAATGGTTATTAAACTTTGAATTGTATGATGTTTGAGGGTTATAAATATATAAGTTGGTATTTTTTCTTCGGTATATTTAGATAATCAAAAACCTTATGCAAGTAAAATTGTCTTTTTTAATTTCAATTTGGATATGTCAACATCTAAGCAGTCATCTATTTTTGCAACAGAAATAGGTTTGAAATTAACACATAATATTCTTCGTGTTCAAAATTCAAATGAATTAATTAGATTTTATGTGAACAATTTTGGCATGGAAAACGTTAAAATCTCTACACCATCACTCCCATATAACGTTAATGTTTTGGGATATACAACAAATTATGATGAGAATTTTAACGAAGCTCCAAATACACTGCCTTTGCCGACGTTACTCGAATTTCATCACAATGATTCATCAACAAATACTGCATCACTTGTTAATAGTGGCGCGTCAAGCGTTTATTGGAAGATTGGTATAACATTATATGATGTTGATTATGCACGAAAAATTTTACAATCTAATCAAGTGAATACAACTGATGCATCACAGTTTGAAGATATCGGTTATTTATGTCACTTGAAAGATCCCAACGGTTTTTGTATTGAATTGTTGCAGCATGATTTTGACAAGACATTTAAAGCTAAAATGAACAAAGGCGATAAACAACCACCACAAAACAACTTTCCATTGGGATATCCAAGCTGTATCGGTCAAATAACGTTCCACGCAAGTGATATGGGTAAAACTCAAAGATTCTATGAAGATCTATTGGGTATGAAATTACTATCAATACAAGAAGTGTCACGATTTGGTTTCACACTATATTTTTTTGCCTGGACGAATGAAGATCCGCCAAAACTCGATATCAAAGACGCTACTGTTAATCGTGAATGGTTGTGGAAACGCCCGTATACAACCATTGAAATTAGACATTTTAATAGTCCAAAACAAATATCACCTTATAGAGATTTACAACAAAATGAAATTGGTTTTGAAGGTATAAGAGTTATGTGTAATGACTTGAACACGTTCATAGCCAAGATGAAAGTGGAAAATATAAGTTTTAAAGAGTCCAGCGGAACATGTGGCAGAGAAATTGTAATTCGTGATCCAGATAATATACCAATCTATGTTTCACAAAACAAAAGCACACAATAGATTCTGTTGTTTTTTATACAATTCAATAATTCTTTTTGATTGTACTTCATATCTTTTTTACTCGCATAATGATATAAACTAAATTATTAGCTTTTTAAACAGAGCGTCGCACAAGATCGGTCAAATATTAACATTCTCAACAGGCTACTTCATACAGACATCAGAGATGTCCATCGCGGCGCGGGAGATTTTTTAGCAATACAGTCGCGGCAGCGGCCCGGCGGCGGCACCTTATTTCTGGAAGACATTGCAAAAACTGCATGAATTTGCACAAAAATTGAGTGTCCACAGACGTAACACTCTAAGACTCAATGAATCTCATCGATTAGT